CTTCCTTCCTTCCTTCCTTCCTTCCTTCCTTCCTTCCTTCCTTCCTTCCTTGCTTGGTTTTTGAGACAGGATTTTCTGTATGACCCTGGCTGTCCTGAAACTCAGATCCACCTGCCCCTGCCTCCCTGCTAGGATCAAAGGTGTGCCCCACTGTGGCCTGGTGCTAGTATTGTCTTTTAAAGATCATAGCCTAAGTAAATTATAATGCCCATGGGGTGCTGAATGCAGAAGGCTCTCAACAGCGCTCAGTTCCATGGCTAACCCGAACACAGCCCCACACTTTTGATCCTCCTGTCTGTATCCAAGGCCCAAGATAGGGAGCTCGACAGGACGGCATCTTACCTTAATCACTTTGTCAGTTCCGGAAGTCAGCAGCCATCCCCTGGTCGCATCAAAATGGACATGCACTATGCTGTGCTTACTGTCATGGAAGGTGGCTGTGGGTGCGCGCCTGGGAGGAGCGAGGAGAGAGGGAAAGGTGGACACGTGGATGACGGGCGTCCAGGGTGGACACTCTCATTTTTAGCCTAACGGCTAACAGCTGTTGCCCTTCTTGGCTCTGTCCCATGATTTGGCTATTTATTTTGCATGTATCATGCATGTGCGTGAGCGTAAGTACACAGGTGGGGGTCAGAGAGCTACTCTCAGAATCGGTGCTCTCCTGTTATCTCGTGGGATCCGGAGACTGAACAGATGTTGTCAGGCCTGGGCTTAAGTGCCTCTACTCACTGAACCGTCTCGCTGGCCCCTGTTACATGACTTTGCAAGGTAAAATGACTCTTCTGGTCTCCAGAATAGGAAAGATGAAAGCCCCGAGGGTCCTTCAGAAAGGTTTGCTGTTGTATAGGCATCCATGGAAATCTCTACCTGTGCTTTGAACAAGTATTTTAAAGAGCACAGTACCTTTGCCAAGTCTGTGCTCAGGAGGAAGGAATATACTCTGGCTTCGCCTATTTCTCTTTATTAACGTTGTTGTTAAAATGCCTAAAACACGACTGTCTGTTTAACTGAAGATCATCTGTTTTCCTCCATTTTCCACTTGTGTAACTGCAAAAACAACTTTAAAAGATGGTATTCTAAAGCTTTAATAAGCCACATATATGTACGTACATATGTGTAGATGTGCCACATAAGCATCTTAATGCACACACACAGCATTGACTGTTTTGTGTTCTTTGGCCAAAGGCTTTGCTGCTGATCTTAGTAAGAAGGCCCATTGGCTGCCTTGGCACTCTAGAGACAAGGTGTAGAGTGCTTGTCAGAGAAGAGGCAGAAGACCCAGGGCTGGGGCTGGGCAGGCCAAGCAGGGAGCCCGCATCATGGTTCAGGGTCTCTACACTGCAGTGAGCTCTCGGAACATGGTCGTCTCTTTGCTATGGTTGGATCTATAGAGAAGACTTTCAGAAGTAAAGTGATCATTGTAAGTGATTTCAGCTTAAGTAGAAATTCCTTAGACTCAGCTCTGTCTTGATAGAATTGAACTTGACCATCTCTCAGGCCCCTGCAGTTCTCTCCAACCCTCAGGACTCTCATTAATCTCCTCATGTGCTTGAGTGCCAACTGCTCAGTGCACATGAACGCCCATTTCGGCCAGGGCATCTTGATGTGTGATTGCCAGGGTGACGTGATCTGACTGTACTGCTAAGTGCCGGGACAATGGGACACTGGTTATCCTCCTGCACCTGCTGGGGCAAGCTTGTGTCTGCATTTCATCGGTGTCTGGGGAGTTTTCAGTTCTCACAGAGTTGCTCCTTCCAAATCAGAGCTAAGACCTCAGGACACCGGGCAGAGTGCACCAGCCAAGAGGTGGCATCTGGGACCATCTCCATCCGGGGAAAATGGGTTTGGTTCTTTCCAGAACCTGACAGCCTAACCTTTGACTGACCCAACATCTGTAGAGACCCCAGCCTAGGTACCAGGGCAAGTCCTGGCTGTGGCTCCCCTGGGAGGTTCTCAGTGAGTGAGCAGACAGCTTTGCTTGAGAGCATCTGGTACAAACACATGCCCTGAGACTACTAAGAGCCCAGCGGGGGGTTCCTTGAGCATATCCCTTCTTCACCTGCCTCTCGTCATCACAGAAACATCTCCGTGGCATGGGGCTTTTTCTGCTGTCTATACTGTACCCCAGCAAGCCAGGCAGGTGGAATCTCTCTGGAGTGGAACGCTCAGGCTGGGCTTTGTCCATAACCCGCAGGGGTGCAGGGTGCGGAACTTACTCTTCATCTGTGATGGCCTCGTGGCAGCTGTCGCAGACCCGCACTTCAAACTCAAAGCCCATGAGCGGGATGGAGGAACGCTTGGAGCTGCACTTGCCACACACGGCCTTCCCACACTTCCGGCAGTGGTGCTGGGGGAAAAGGGAAACAGGCTGCCATGGCGCTGGCTACAGCGCTCACACACTCGTAAACTGACTGCTCTCGGGTAAGACACCAGAGTGCCCCAGAGCTGGCCATGGTAGCACAGTCTCACAGTCTCAGCGCTGGGAGGTGACACCAGCTCAGCTCCCAAGTGTTGGAGGCCAAACTGGGATTGACTTGTGTCTTAGGGAGAAGGGTTTAGTTTATATTGATGAAGGTAAACAAGGATATTTAACATGACTGTACTATAAAGTGCTAAGAGGATTACAGAACAGTTATCCCCAGCGACTCACTGAATACACACCATGCCAGAGCATACCACACACCACAATGCAACAGTGTCCTGAAACCCACCGAGGGCATGCCAGATCTCTACTCCTTTTGATTTTGGTCTCAGTTCAGAGTGGGAAGCATGCCTTCCCTCTTCTGTTTCCTATTCTCCATCCTCTTCAACCGTCACTGCTGTAAGCTAGACACAGAGGAAGCACCCAATGGCCAGATCTTAGAGCCGGCTCACCCGAGGAGTGCCACCGTCAGAGATGACAAATCTGACTGAACTCTGATTGAGCCCATTATCTTTAACTCTAGCAACAGTCAACCTAGGTGATTCTAGCATTTGATTTCCATGGCGAAGACCAAACCAAACCAAAGAACCAGACCTTGACAGTGCTGTGTTCGAAACAGATCTTAAACAACTAAAACCAAGTAAGATGGAAGGAAAGTGAGTAATTAAGAAGCAGACATCCTCATGTGCTTTCCTGGTTGGGAACCAACAGGAGCTAATGTGATGCCTCTAATGTAAAGTATATCTCAATGGATGCTGTCAGAGTTTTAAAACTGTAGAACAAGCCACTAGGATACCCAGCCTACCAGGAAGGGACTGCAGGAGACATGGAGGCGTCACAGTTGTAAAATCACTTACTCTACCACCCAAGGGCACCTACTTCCACGACTACACGGACAAGTCCCTTCCACGTGACCACCCTTTAAGAGAGCGCACGCCACCTACCTGCCTTAGCCCAATTTTCTTACTGTCCCACATTTGCTTGAAGTTCCAGAAGAAAGGCTGGTCACACTTTTGGCAGGAATCGCTGTCCAGCCACTCGGGGGTCTTGGAAAACAAAGCACAGAACAAGTCACACTGAGGAGCGGCACGGACAAAGAAACCACGGGCACCTCCAGAATCTGGTCATATCCATCGGAAACAGCTGATATAAAGTATGCAGAAGGTCTGTTAATTGTCAGGTTCCGAGCATAGGTTACAGTGGCACATAAAAAGAACATACAATCACAGGGATTATCATGTATCAGGGAAGATGTCATGAAAATAGTGTTAGTAACCAAAATGTCTAAGAGTGTAAAAGCCTAAGGGAAGCGGAGTACTCTGGCAAGGCTAACAGAGGCTCTGACAGACGAGGGGTTGGCAGGTAGACCAGAGGCTCTGTCGTAGGCTGGCGGTCTCCGTAGACGACGGGTCAGCTGAGACCTGAAGGGAGGAGGAGAGGCAGTGGGGGCTGAGTGCAAATTCAGCACGGCTGGGAGGCAGATGAGGGGAGAGAGGAAGCTGGAGCGAATGGCAGGGATCATACTTTGCAGGCTCCTGACCTTCATGCTGAGAACTTCGGTCTGTATCCTCTAATCACATACGGTGCTGTCTAATCGCACATCACACACACAGACACACACACACGCGCGCACGCACGCGCAGCTCCACCATAAGCAGTTTAAATGCGGTGAGACGGGCTTTAAAAGTATGTTCTGCTTAAAACTATTTCTTAGCAGAGCTTACGTTTAAGGCTGTGTACATGTCACATATGTCCCTGTACACACATTCTGGGTGCATGTGTGAGTGTCGTGATGGAATTAGAGTTAGGAGCTCATGCGTGTTAAGTAAGCACTCTGCCACTGAGCTAGAGCAAGTTGGGGAAGAACTCAAAAATGGTTTGGGGACAGAAAGTGGAGACAGAACTGGAGGTGTGGTACCACACTGTGTAAATTCACACATACATACACCACACACACAACTATACACATGCACATACAGACATACACTCACACATACACAACCCACATCTACACCACACGCTCACACACATACTTCATATATACTTACACATACATACACACATCTTCACGTACACCGCACATCCTGAGACACACACGTCTCATACATACACCAACTCACTCATGTATCTATACATAGATAGAAAACTCGCATACAAACTACACACACACTCATATACATATACAAACATCTCACACATCCATCATCCACACTAATATACATACACATATACACACATACACTTACACATACCACAGATATATATGACACCCTCCTACACACGCAGACACCCCCACTCACACGTATACACCACACACACACACACACACAGAGCTACATACACACACAGCTACGCACACTCATCACACATACCACACA